AGGGAGAGAGAGAGAGACCCCCCAATAGTGTCTCCATGCTGCAAGTCCACCCCCCATGTCTACCTCCAACCCCAGACAGCCCCAGATCATGGGCACAAGTGCATGCCCAGTGTACTCAGGGAGGTCTCTGGATGTGAACCTTCAACTTTCCCATGAACACCAGCTCACAGAGCCTTGCTTTTCACTGCTGCACCACCACCAGCAGCCCTTGGGTCTCTCTCTATATATATATCTTTTCTTTCTTTCTTTCTTTCTTTCTTTCTTTCTTTCTTTCTTTCTTTCTTTCTTTCTTTCTTTCTTTCTTTCTTTCTTTTTTCTTTCTTTATTTATTTTTGAGAGGCTTTTTACTATAGGGCATGTGCACTTGCCAGAAAGACAGAGAGACAGAGAGACAGAAAGCAAGAAATCACCCCACAGGGGACCAGGGGAGAGGGCCACACCACAATCTCTCCTCCATTCTCCTCTTGGGATCTTGGGCACATATGCACACATGCCCAGTGTGAGCTTAAGCCACTGGGTCCAGGACTCTAGCCACAGTTGACTACATGGGAGTCCAGCGACATTGTCATTATGCAAACTGCTGGTCCCATGTTTCCCAAATTCTAAAATGGGATATGAATGAATATTCAGGATATGAATCCTGAATATCAAGGATCTTGATAAACCGCAGGTTCTGGACTTAGCAAGTGCAGGTAGGGTCTATAGTTCTGCTTCTGGACTGCAGACCATGCCTCGAATAGAAAGGAGGTGTGGCACGTGACTTGCAAATTAGGATCCTTGTGCTGCTTGAGAGGTCAGGGGAACCAATACAGCAAGTGAGTTTTTGTCGCTTTACAAACGACTCGGAGACGGTCTTCTCTACAGCACTTTATTTACCCCAGACTCTGTACAGTCTTCCTCCTCTCTTCCCCGCCCCAGGGCCTTATAAAGGGCCCCTGACCAATTGGCACGTTGGTCACGAGCACGGAAGCCAGTCCTCGAAAGAGGATTGGTTGCATGCGGTGTTCCCGTGCTCTCCACGCTCCCCACTGCCCTACTTCCTTAAAGTTGTTTATTGCTTTGAGCGCTCAGCGGGCTTCCATTGAGCGCCATTTTGAAATAGGCGCTGAGGGCGATGGGCGGGGGTGCTCCACAGTTCCCCCTTTTTTGTCTTTAAAGCAGGAGAGGGTAGAGGACACAGCCCCCAGATATTGTTAGGACCATGTAAGGCAATTTGCTCCATGTTCTGGGACATTGAGCCGACTACCCACCTGTCCGGCACCGATTTGTTGGGGATGGGAAATAGCGGTGCCCACTCCTTCAGGTGCGCGGCGGCCTGGGCGATCCAGGAAGACAGGGTGCGGGCCACGTCTGGATCCACTCTTGGGGATCCACGCAGCCGTCTGATTATACAGCAAGATGCAAGGGGATTCGCTAGAGAATGAGATATTGGTCAGCATCTGAAAGCACAGCGACCCCTGAAGGGATAAATTATAAAATGGCGCGCCAGCAGTGTCTGTTTCCAGGGGCACATAGGGAAGATTAAGGGACTCATTGGTTGTAAAGAATCTCGGGAAGGTATGTGCTGAGTGGGTCACTGGCAGAGGGAAGGGGAGCACCGACAGAATACCCCACTGATGTTTAGCTTGACTCGTTGGAATCAGGGACACCATCAGGATCAGCAACAGTAGCCTCATCTTGTGGGGGGGCCAAAGGTCGAATCAACCTCTCAGGTACCCACACTGGATCCGTGCCGTCCTGTGGAAACACACAAACTGAGCCTCTGGTCCATGTTATAACCGGATCAGGGCCCTTCCATTGCCCGGACAGAACCTTCCATTTTATAAATACCTGTTTCGGGGTAAGATTCCCGAAGTGTCGGTCGGCGGCCGAATTGTTGTTGTCATCCAATTGCAAAACATTTAAGGTAAATAAAATGAGGGAGAGTTGTTGTTTAGGTTTAAACCCTCTTCCAATTCCTATCATAGCCACAGTAAATGCTGCATTAATACCGTAGGCTCGGACCGATTCGGCCAAATTTTTTACTATTTTAAAATCGAGGGGCTCATGATACCGGTTCCCTGCATTGTCTACAAAAACTGGGAAGGTCCCCAGGTCCCCACTTGCATTAGCCGTCTGCCAAGTTTGGGGGTGGAAAGTTGTGCCTCCCTCCGCTGG